TGGTGCAAATTACTGACCTCTGTCATCATTTTAGGTGGGGGAACTTGCACAATCGGTGGCTGACTAAATACTTTTTTGCCCCACTGTATATGAAGATTTATATAAACAAGCCTTAGTTGAAAACATGAGAGAGACAAGTACAAGTACAGTGATGACATCACATTACCCCCCCCCCTCATTTTTTTTCTACCAAACTGCCTGTCCCAAAAGCTCTGTTATCTGTCTCTGTAACAAACCGTTTATTACAAAGAACTTCCACTCCTGCATCTAACGCTGATTTTAGAGGAAGATACACATTTACGATATTTGCAAACAATAAGATGATACAAAAGCTGTGGATCACCCGGAGGACCCCAAACTTAAGATTTTTAACCCAACTCTACATGGCACCGAGCATCAGTCCCTTACAGATGGTGAATCTCAATGTTGACATTTTCCAGCGGTATAGACCAGCCCACAACATGCTGACTGTCGGCTTACAACAGAGGCAGGAACACAAGGTGTAGGCAGTGTCTGCAACAGCTGGGGTGGAGCTGAAACCAACACACACCTCAAAATGTTGCTGTGACAAACGTAACACAGGGTTTATTGTGGTTCATGTGGTGTTCTTTGGATTTCTGTGAAAAATAGCACACGGCCTTGTCAAAGACACCTGCAAAACTACTGTGTTTGTACCCTGAGCTTTGCTATCAGTCTCAAGCAAAATCAGGGGCGATCAGAGCCTCGGCTGATCTGAGTCCTGACACTCAGAAATGCGCTCAAAAGATTAACATGATCTGACAAATCAGTCAGGGGAGTAATCACATTTCAAAAGTTCTTGTAGAACTCAACGTAATAACCATATATACCAAAAGCAGGCCTTGATCCAAATGTACACATACTGTATTTTGCCCTTATGCAGCTTTAGAAGATGCAGCATATATTTTCATTGCTATGTATATCAGTGAAGCCAGAGGAGATAAACCAGTTAAAGTGCAGGAAAGTCTTAAAAATGCAAAAGCCTGAATAATCTCTAATTTCCTGTTTCTAAAGTCAGATAAAACTGTGGTTATTGTATTCACCCCTATAAATATTAGAAACACGCTGTCTAACCATGTCTTTGTGTTAAAAGAGTGTTTTTCCTTCCCACTGTCACCATGTGGTTGCTCATAGGAGGTCATCTGATTGTTCGGGTTGTCTCTATATTACTGTAGGATCTTACAGTATAAATCACCTGCAGGACACTGATGCTGTGATTTGGTGCAAATAAAATTTCAATTTCATTGAACTGAAAATCTTCAGCTCTGCCAACTGCAGGTCGGTGTCTTTTTATCAGTGCCATGTCTCAATCATGCATCATAGCACGTCTCTCACACAC